CGCGAGGCGAGGCCTGGGGCGGCCCCCGCTGTCCCGCTCCAGGCTGAGGGAGCTGAGGGCGCTCAGCATGCCTGACCTGGACAAGCTGTGCGGAGAGGGCTTCTCAGGGCCGCCGCAGCCTGCCTGTTTCAAGACAGAGCTGGAAATCACGCCTCGCAGAGCCCTCGGCATGGCTGCCCGTGCAGCCCGCCTAGCCCCCTGCAGCCCCACTGAGGCGGGTGCCATGGGGATGGGCACCCGGCGCCCTCAGGACAGCAGCTCAGGAACACCAGGGTCTGCCTCAGATGACAACATGCCCCATGGCAGCTCTCCGGGTGGGGAGCACTCAGAAAACAGCTGGTCCATCAGGTTGGTGTTGGCTTTGCTGCCACTGTGTCATTTTCATCCCCACAAGCCTCTCCAGAGGTGAAGCTTCCTTGTTGCCCCAGGCCCGCCCCAAAGTGCATTTCAGCTTTGGCCCCAGCCCCCATTCCCCTCACAATTCGGGGTGCTGTCCTACATGCTCTCCTGCTGTCTAGTGGTGGCCATGCTTCAGTACAGAATGAAACACTTTATTGTGGCAGGGGCAGGATCTTTTTCTGTGTCTCCTCTAGCTGGTTTTGGTCAGTTCTTGGCCATGCAGTAGGGCAGCAGCCACTGCCTCCTGCCTGCCCAGAGGGGAGGCTGCGCAGTGCTGGCAGCCAGCACAGCCTGCGGAGACAGACAAGCTTGTTGTACTGCCAGAAGTAGTTCTCAGATGTATTAGTCTCCTTGTTGTTAATGCCTGTTGCTAAAACCATTGGCAAAAGAGGAGGGGAACAGAACGGGAACTGATTTTCAGTATTATTCTAAATGGTTTTCTCTGCCCCTTCCCATTCTCCCAGTGTACACCATTTCTTGCCTGATCTCAAGATTTCTGCTTGCTAATGAGCTGGTCCTTCATTCATTACCCTAATACAACCTACATAGTATACCTGAAACATATGTCTACATGGCCTAGAAATATAAAGCTGTCTTTTATATTTTTATGTTTGTTTCAGCTTGGATCAGCTCCTCATCTCATGCCTGGACCAGCAAAAACTGCAATCTGTTTTCTCAGCAGTTGTACCAAAATACGACGTTGCTGCTGTGCTCCAAGAAGTCAAAGCACAAGTAAAGGTAAAAACCAGAAGATAAAACTAGATTATTGGTGGTATTGTTAAGGGCTTTTCTTCCCTTCCAAATGGTTCCAGAGCTCCTCCAGTAGTCCTGTGGAAGATTACAGTTGATGATGGCTTTACTAATGCTAGTTTTTTGAATGCCTGCTATAAACCCATAATAAATTTGAATGGCTTTTCTATAAAAGAGGATATTGTTTGTCCAGTGTGAAAGCAGTTTTGAGACACAATAAATAGACCTATTTTAAGTGGAGAAATATGTCTCCATTTGAGTCAGTATTACAACCGGGAAACTCCTGGGTTTGCCTGTAATTGCACATCAGAATTTAACTTTCCAGCAACCATCTGGGTCAGACTTGCTTTCCCCACCATGCAGGAGAAGGTCTGCTTCTCTCTGTGCCTAACTAGAGGCTTACAACACTGGAAAGTGACTGCAGGAGGGTTTGTAAGAGACTCCTGTGCCCTTTTTGCTCTCTTCTGTGCTTCATTATCTAGGTGTTTAAAGAAGGCCTCCAAAGTGAAACAATTGCCAGAACATTACTTCTGTGTTTGCAGTGTTTGTGTTTGTGGTTTTGGGATACATCCACATCCTTTTTAAATCAGAACAGAAGTTGATAAAATAATGACAGCACTGGAGGGGAAAGTGCCATCTGTTCTGCATAACTGCTGGCTGAGCTGCATTTAGAGCATTCCTGAGTCTTATTCACAAAGGTTGCTATTTCACATGTAAAACAGGCTGGGGGAAGCAGGACCTCCCCAGAATACCCAGCATTACCTCCTTCCCAAGAGCTTGGTGAGCCAAGAGAGTTTGGTAGCTTTACTGATAAAATTAGGATTGGATTGTACTTCTGGCTGAAGGTAATTAAGTGTTGTTTAAAGTATTTTGCATGGGGTCTTGGAGAGATTATTTGTTTATGCCACTTTTCTAAGAGTCTAAGAGCCCAAATATTTATAAAGCTGCCTTTTGGAATGGACTCATCTGCATAGTTCCTTATCCATATTTAAGCCTGATATGGCATGTATGCTGGAAAACTTTATGCTAGTCAAATGCTGGATTTAAATGTACAATAGGACAGTTCTTCATAATTATGCAGTTGCTGAAAAATGAGATGGGCTGCCTGATGCAGACTGAGAGCTTCCGCGGGAAGCGTTTGTTATCTTTTGCTCTGAACAGTGCTGAATTTACTGCTAGCATTTACTAAGTGCTACTAATATAAAAAAATCAATATATGGTCATTTTATTGTTTAAATCTCTATAACCGATGATCATTGACTAACACGCTAAATAGAGGTGATCACTGGCGATCTTATGTGTCCCCTGAGTGGCCAAGTAAAGCAATAAGCATCCATAGCCAGGTCTGTGTGCTCCATAGTACACATGCTGGCTGAGGACAACATTGAGAGCTGGGGAGGGAGGAAACGCACAGCCTCAGCAATGGGAAGCCACGGTTCAGACCATGTTGCTCACTGGCCCAGGACATGTGGTCCTTGCACAACCCTCCACCGTCTGAGACGATAAATTTTTTTTCTTCCCCAGTGTAAACAAATTAAGTTGTGGTAGCAAGGGTTAGAAAGAACCTGACCTCTTGAACAAAAAGGGTCACTACAGTACTTAATGGTCAAAGATATGTGTATGTTTCCCTTACTTTCACTGCACTTTGAAAGGGGCTAGCCTAGATACTTAACCAATTTTATTATATCTAGCCTAGCATAAAGCTGTTGTCACCTTGTACAGGTGAGAATGATCTTAACATCTACAAAAGACTGTGGACTAAGATACTCAGCCCTGACTGCTCCTCTGTCCTCAAGCACTGATGGATCAGTGATGTGGAGCAGTGTGGCTTTGCTTTCTGACATTGTCTCTGTCCACTGCAGGGATGCCTCTAATGCAGAAAATCTTCCAGGGCCACTATTTGACAAAAAAAAGCGCACAGTGAGGCCAAGAATTTCGCTGTTAATTTCACCAAAACCCGATAGTAATCTGTGGTTCCCTGTGCCTTTTGAAACAAAGGGAAAGGCAAATGCTGAGTTAAAATGTTGAGGTTAGTGAACTAAATATGTCATTTAATGCTAAATAGATTAAGAGGTTGTTTTCTAATGATGTGCCATTAGTTTTAGTGTTGGCAGCCGTTTCTGCAAATAACCGATGCTGGATGGGATCCCAGGGAAAAGCTGAGACCTCCTTTCTATTCCCCACTTCTGATGCTCCGCCCCACACACGGTTACTATCCCTGTGCTTCACCAGATGCCTGCTTATAGTCCCCCTTCCACCACAAAATGTGGTCTCTGTAAAAGCATCTGGTTTTGTCCTAATAACCATTCAGAAGACAGCACCAGACTTGCTGTACAGGACTGCTTCTCTCTCACGGCAAATTCTGTGTTCTGGCAGAAGGCCATCACTTTGAAGAAATGAGCTCTACACATTTGTTCTGGTCTGGAGCCATATCAATCTCTTTCCTGTGCTGGATGCTCCCATTTCCACAACAACACAGCTTAGTCCTGTTTGGATCACTAACTGTCTCCTTCCTTTCGTCTCCCAAGTGAAACAGGTTGTCCTGCTGTCCCATCTAACCTTCCTAAGCTTCAGTTTGTTGTCACTGCCCCTTGCAAGATTGTCCAGACTGCTGAGAAGAGGTTGATGCAACTGCCCTCCATTACGTCTTTGTAACTGCCTTTCAAGAGGACAGAGAAATCAGATAATGAAAGTGTTAACAGTTCCCTGGAAAGTACAGTGCTTGGTCTAGAAAGGTGTATGGGAACTACTGAGTTTTGACTGCAAAAAGTCAAGCAATGCAAAGTTGATTACAGCCTGTGAAAATTAGGCTGCTCAAGGTTTAAGACCTTTCCAGTATTCTAATTTTGACTTTGCTTTCTAGCCTTGGTCTGATTGACGAAACCTTTGTTGTCACCTGAATTGTTTTATAGGCTGGTACTTGCTTGCAGCACGAACAGAAATGCATTTAATGTCTCTGTTTTAATTCCTTTAGTTGCTTTTTTCACCTGCCATAATTTGAGGGTACTGGGAATTTGTCATTTGTGCAGGAACTGGGTTTTGATCTTTGGTTTTGTTTTTCTTCTCCTTCCTCTTCCCCTCCACCTCCATTTTTCTGCTAGAGCAAAGAAGACACATACTTTGTAGTCTTGCACAAAGAAGAAGGAGCTGGCCTGGGATTTAGTGTGGCTGGAGGAGTAGATCTGGAAGAGAAATCAGTCACAGTAAGTGATGGCTGCAAGTCGGTTTTGTACAAAGCTCATTTTAAAGAAGGCTGGTGATTAGATCAAGTGCTCGTTTATCAAGACTCACTGCAAGTCATTCACAGTCATAAAATGGTGTCTGTCAGAGGCAGCTGCATGACATCTGTGGCTGAAATCAGACTGTGTCCAGGAAATGTAATTTTTATTATTGGAAAGGGATGCCAATTATGTTTTCAGTCTTTAAAAGTCTGTTACTGAATGAGATTGTCTAGATCTAGATCCTACGCATGAAAGCAAAATTATTCATGCCGTTCCAAATTTGTTTCAGTCTTATTAAAGCCTGTTGGTTGTCAGTAAATGAGAGTTGGTTTTTTTGTTCGCTTTTTTTTTTCAGAAAGCCTTATACACCATTCTGAACCAAGGATATTGTGTGCCGTTAAGTGATACTGGTGCCAAGCAATTGAAATAGACAATTTCTTTACACGAGATAGGCACTTAAATTCTGCCCTGAAAGAGATCCATTAGGTGCTGAGATTAAAAGTAGGATATGCCCTCAGTCTTCAGGGCCTACAGCAGCCCTTGCAGGAATCTTCTGATTTTTGCTCTTGAACAAGACCAATATAAGTAAATATATTTTACATTAAGCAGTCATTGAGTTAGAACATGGTCACATTCTAGGGAACAGACTGCTTCTCTGGCTACAATGGCTGTGTTCCCTGTCTCTGGCCCAAACACTCGCAGTGTCAGCTGTGAGCAAGGGGAAGGCTCAACAGCGTCCTACCCCAGAGTGCTCCTCACCTAGAGACTGTGATACTACCTAAAAATATGATCTTGAGCTCTCTCAGGCTGAGTAGCTGATGAACTCTTTCTCCTGAAGGCCATTAGCCATGAGACCAAAAGAGTGTCAGCTCTTGCTCTTTCCAGATCGTCTTTGTTTAGTGTGTGTAAAGCATGCTTCTCAGGTGAGTGTTGTAGTTTTACACACCCGTCTGGCAGCCCAACACCACAACAACCACTCGCTC